AGACCCTTCCCACTGATTTTCAATATCAATGGTCAGTATCAAGCGAATGTTATGGCAGTCACCTTCGCATTTAAGATGACGAATGGAAAGTGTCGATTTCAATATTTTTAGTTTTCAGCAAATTGAACTACTTTATAGTTTGAGTTATGCTTTGATATTTTAACTAAACCTGGCTTATATGACATGACATCTCTGAAGTATAATCATTTGTTTAGTATCATGCATGGGCACTACAGTTCAACCATATCTTCCAAAGCTTAAGGAAAGGTACATATAACAACTGGAAATGTTTGATATGGAAACGGTCATGAAACCAAAATCCAAGAAATATCATTTTCAGTTTGAAGGTGATGGCCATTACCTTCGCTTCATACTGACCAGTTCATAAGAAAAGGTGTCACCACCTCACAGTTACATGTCATGTAAATTGTACCAAAGTCAGCATTCATTTGTTATTTTCCTCTTGTTCCTCTTCTAGTAGATCTACTTGTTGTTTAACCCTTGCAATCATTGCATATAATTGCAGACACTATTGAATAATAATTGCCTGACAAAAATATACAACAATGTTATTGGCTTTCAACTTCAATTCAGATTGTAGACATTGTCTTTTATTGTCGGTTATCGGCTCACATCTCTGTTTACAAGGCAGCCCCACACTTTATTACCTAAAACATATTTTCTTCTACAGGGTTACCAGAAAGAAATGTTATCCACCTTAATTTTCAACAACGTTTTACTCCAGTTTTTAGGCACTACCAATAGTTCTAATAATAATTACTCCTCTCCTGGACGGATTAGGCATATTTGAAGCATTCCCACCCTCTTTGTATTGCCTTATTTCAAAGAAAAACTACCTAAAAGTTTGGTTTCATGACACAAAGCTCCGATAGAGATGACACAACACTATACAAGTCAACCTCATCCCTCACACCAACATAACATAATGCAACAATCTTATCAATTTAGACAAAAATTTGGATGCTCTTTCGATCTAGACAGGTAAGAACATTCGCTGTGATGTCGTTCGACCCAAAACCTCCATTTTTGTCGTCAAAATGGCTTCAGTTCGATGACTCTATTCAATCTCAAATGTCGATATTTTTTCAATTACTGACTTTTATTCAAAACATTGCTCATTTTTCAGTAAACTGAATACCCCCTTATCCATGAAACGTGTATCGTTTCCTCAAATTTGTTAATTTAATTTGACGAGTCAACTTCCGCGTTCATTGAATTAGTTGAAATCCAATTCACTTCCGGAAATGCGTAGTGGACGTAAACTCGTAATAGAATCTTGACTTCCAAGTACAAACCCCAATTAAGATCCCCACATTTATGGGGGTAACCAGTGGTAGTGCCTAAAAACTGGAGTAAAATTTACTTAAAATTAGGACACATTTATTTCTGGTCACCCTGTACAAGAGGCCATCTGGGTCTGTTGGTCACTTGTAAAATACAGATAGGGCGCCTAGTCTAGGCTAAATCTGTAAGGCTAAATTTAATTTAAATTAAAATCATTTTTGGGTCTAGATATCTACCTATAAGTGTATTTCTCTTTTTTGCTCCCTGAGTTGATGTCTTTTTCTTTGTTCCCTGTTTGCCTCGAATCGTCGCAACTTCGTCAACTTCATCAGCTTCGTCAAGATCTAATTCTAAAATGTCCAAAACGCAATCCAAGTCTTCTGAAAAGAGAAAATCATTTGACGCCATTTTAACAACAGAAGGAAGCCCGGATGTTGTTCAATGCGCATATAAATTGCGCACAATGACGTCATCTTTAGCAATGACGTCTGAGTCTTCCCCAGGGGAATACGTTTGATTACGAGGCTCTGATTTTGATTCAAATAGAGGCTAGTCACGTGACCGAAACACAGACCGAAAGTAGGTCAAACGGCTGTTAGGTATCCAGTTGATATACGTCCATGCTACAATGTACTATTCCCGAAGCCGCAGGCTGAGGGAATAGTACATTGTAGAGGATATTCCCAAGGGGAAATCATTTACACTATTGCTCGAAATTAGGCAGTCACTATTTGTTTTATTATATACCCTATACTGACTCTTGTCCCGTTTCCTCTGCGAAGGCCAAAAAGGCTTAGAAAGCCCCCTCCCCGGGTCCATTGTTAGCATTATAAGCTGTGACGTCATCAGATGCTCAACAGAAATTTTTGCCTCTGAGACTCTCACTTGACAAATTCAATCGCGTTTAACACGCGGAATAGATTATCATAACACCTGAAATTACACAGACGTATTGAGCTTAGGGAACTTTATACACGTTGCTTATACTGTATCGTTCACGCACGTCTGTCATGGTGAACGGAGTTGATTTGTGTTTGTGCTCATCCTCCATTTTTCTGTTTTTCGTCTGCGCAGTGATGATGCGCAGACGTTTCCAAGGGTAATAGAAGTTGCAATTGTGACGTCAGCGGGCAATAGTTCAAATGTATATTCCCGCTGACGTCACATTTGAGGGAATATAACTTTCCGGGGGAAATAGTAAATCTATTTCGGAACACGTGACTAGGTATTGACCAATCAGGATTAGTGTTACATATTGGGTATATAATAAATTCATCTATTATAGGGTCAGTTGGTTTATTATGCATGATGGTGTCTAAAGCAATGGGGGCTGCTACAGTATGTATCACAGGTACTCGTTCATTTACTTTTTGATCACTACATGTACAGGGTGAGCCAAAACAGGTAACCCAAACAAATCTATTACTCAGTCATCCAGCATGGGTTTTATTCAATGTTCTTTCATTCCACCAAGTCTCATTGGTCTACTAGCTATAAGCGACCACCCTCTACTTGACTAAACACCTTCTCACACAAGGTGTACTGTTGTGTTGTGCAAGGGCTTGGAGTTTTACAAATGTTTTCCAAATGGTCAAACTTTTATGACCATTTTACAAAACATGCTTATATTACCGGTCTTGAACGCATCCAGTGTTTTTTCTGACCATATGCTTACAGATATCTTATGTCTTCCTTCTTATCTCTTGTTTCAATTTTCCGGTGCCCTGGGGGTTCTCACCCTTTCTCAATATTTCACTTTTCTCCTCCAGGTCATTCAACGAAGAACCCACCCCTTGAAAGTATTTCAGATATTGCCATGGCATTTGATTAAAGAAAACAAAATATTCCAATATTAAAGACATCTCTAAGAAATAATTTTTTCTCTCTTAGATATCAACCAATCAAAACTTGACCTGGCCAAGAAGTTGGGTGCCAATTTTACCGTCTTAGCAACTGGTAGCAGCAGTGATGTAAAGAACAAAGTGACAGATGCCATTGGGTGTATGCCAGATAGATCGGTAGAATGCTCAGCTGCAGAGACCAGTGTAAGAGCCGCTATATTGGTAGGTTATGAATTTGGCAAGGTTGTGCCAGAATATAATACAGTAAAACCTGTCTAATCTGAACACCTCAGGGACCACCCAAGTGACTGGATGAGAAGGTGTTCACATTTCTAGGTTTTTAAAACATGTAACTCAATGAGAGAAAATCAAATTGAGACCGAGAAAAGTGTTCACATTGAGAGGTGTTCAGATAAGAGCCTCAAAATCCATTTTCATTATAATTATTATATATTTAGTATATTTGACTTATCTGTTAAACTTCACAAGTTTTATTCTAATTATGACATTCATTTGTATTGCTGACTTAAGGTTATCAACATAATTTTACCATTCATGTTTGGTATTTCAAACAATTAGAACATTGTTCTTCAACAAATGAGATGAATTGGTTAATGCATACAATAACTTGTACATTTCAGAGTACTAAATCTGGAGGTACTGTCACACTACTAGTAATACTCAGAAAGGTAGAACTTGTACATTTCAGAGCACTAAATCTGGTGGTACTGTCACACTACTAGTAATACTCAGAAAGGTAGAATTTTTACATTTCAGAGCACTAAATCTGGTGGTACTGTCACACTAGTCGGCCTGTCTAACAATGAAATGACTCTGCCCATCGTGAATGCTGCCACAAGAGAGGTGGATATCATTGGAATACTTGGTTACTCCAGGAAAGAGTGAGTGAAGAAACTACTAGATATAGTATATCTTAAAGTAGTTTGTTTCATGTTTCCATTCCAAATCAATCCGTTTTATCAACAAGGGTGTCTAATTTTTGCATGCATGTGTTAACTCATCCCTGGCCCATGGGATTATAGTTTCTTATATGAGTTATACCATTACTTTGATAAATTTAAAATTTTTATGCATTCCTATTCATATTGTCTAAAATTGCCGCTAATGTTTTTTTTATAAAACTTTGGCAATCAATTGCATGTCTATTATTGTTAAATAAAGGAATAAAAGTCCATGTGCAGTATTGTAAGTGATTTTAGACAGTCATATCTTTCACCATGAGTACTTTCTGGGTATAAATATATATTTCAATTAAAACAATATGTTTTCTTTAAAGTGAAGTCCCCATGATAGTAAAATATAAATACAAATCTCTGAAAAATTATGGATTAGGACCCCACCTTGTCACTTTTTTAAAAATGTAAGGCTTATTTTCTAAAAAGAGGATCTTGTTTTTCTCAATTTAAATATATCAAAAGTTTCTTTTATACTATATTAATAACTTCTGAAAAGAGGATGGGTATTGAAGTACGATAAAGTTAAAAACCACATTTCCCATATTATTTTCCTATAGGGAAAACTCATGCTATCCATTGTTTTCAGCATGATTTTGGTCATCAAAAATTGATATCTTCAAAACTAGGCTTTCAATACCATTCTACTTTCGAAGATGTTTTAGATCCCTTGTTGAATAATCTTTTCATGCAATGAAAATCAGAAAAAGAAGATCCTCTTTTGAGCAAATAAGTTCAGCATTTTGAAAAAATTGTTGACGTTTTATGCCCAGAAAGTACTCATGGTGAACGATATGACCGTCTAAAATCACTCGCCATACTGAACATGGACCTTTATGCATAAAAAAAAACAAAAAACAAGGGTGTCACTTAGTTAACATAACAAATTGGACTTCATGAAGAATGTATTGGGAAACCCTAAAACCCAGTTAATCCATGCTTAAGGCCCCATGTAGAGTTTATATGGGTCCTTTAACATTTGAGACAAAAAGTGTGTGAATCAATTCTTTCAAGGAAATGATCCAGTTGCATTAGAATTATAGCACAAACTCATAATTTTGTCCATTTTCACAAAATGTATCACAAAAAAGTTCATAAATTATTTCTTTACATATTAGATCAAGGTTTGAGATATTTGGTGTATGTTTCATTTTCTTGTGCTGTTTTTAACACATTTTGGTACTTCCCCATTGGCACTTGTGCATACCCATTCATATTTATACCATACCAACAACTGTTCGATTTCAGCTACGCCAGCGCTGTTAGTCTAATGGCAACAGGCAGAGTAAATGTGAAGCCTCTTATAACACATACATTTAAACTGGAGGACACATTGAAGGCGTATGAACTAGTCAAGAACCAAGAGGATGGAGTTGTAAAGGCAATCATAAGGTGCAATGACTTTTAATGTGCAGATAACCGATACCTTGAGGATTGAACAGTGATGTATATGAATGTTGAAAATAGTAAACTGATATTTTAACCAGACTTACTCATTGTCTGATCCTATTTACTTTTTTGCCAATGATATTGAGTGAGACATAGTTGAAGGAGAATTAGGTTAAATGATTTAAGCCTGGGCCTCAATGAATTGTGGATGAATTCTTGCATCAAGGCTTAGAATGAGGTTGGTAGTCCAAATTCAAAGTCAAAGATATGGCTTTGTATAAAAAACCTCCTACCTCATACCCACCTACCCACTTACGTTGGACATGATACAGTCTTTGAAGGGTTCAATTTTAAAGATGTTAGTTCATTAAATCTTAGTTTATGATGAAATATAGATGCATTTGTAACGACCCTTGATAGCAAGTTGCTACTACAGCCCAGCTGGGTTCTATTCCCACTCGGGGCATCGAATTTAGCACACTTTCTTTCAATTTCTTTATCTGGCTCGTGGTTGTTAGTTAGTTATTCCCCTAGGGCGCCCTCAGGTCATTACACATTACAATGCACCCATATGCCTTTATTTATGGATCTGTCATCCGTCTAGTCATAAAATAAAGCCGGAATTGTAGAAATGTTAATAATTAGAGCTATTTTGAAATTTAAAAATCTTTAGAACTGAACCCTTCAATGACTGTATCATGCCCCACGTAGGTGGGTAGGTGGATATGAGGTATATGAGGTGGATATGAGGTTTTTTATACAAAGTCCAAAGATACAAGACATGACTACATCTAATCACAAATTTGTTTTACATGCTTACATACATTAGTTTTATCTTAAAGGTAAAGGTATACAACTTATCCAGTTAACCTTTGGTAAAGTCAACAACTATGTCAACCATCTCCATTCCAAACAATGGCAAAAACATAAGATTAATCACTTTTTGATGAAATATATATTGCTGATCGATTGCCCATTAAATTGTACATTATATTAACTAAAAACATATTGTTCAAAATGGAAATTAAACATTAATATTGAAAAAACGAAAGTTGTGATTTATAATAAATCAGGAAAAATAATAAAACATAGTCATTTTAAATTTGGAAGTATAAATATAGAAAAAGTAAATGAATATAAATATTTGGGATTTGTTTTAAAAAGCTCTGGGAGTTTGAAACATGGCATATCAGAATTAAGTAAGAAGGCGATGAAAGTTATTTTTATGATGAGACAAAATTTTAAGTTTTCAACTATCAATGTAGAATTGCACACAAAAATCTTTGACATGTGTGTTAAGCCTATATTATTATACGGAAGTGAATTTTGGTCAATGCTTCACTTGAAAGTTGACAGAAGGATTAGTCAAGGGGACCTTAAACTAGAGAGTTCTTATGAAGACTTTATTCCTGAAAAAATACACAATAAATTTTGCAAATTCCTTTTAGGGGTTAACAAATATACTTCAAGTTATGCCGTTAAAAAAGATTTAGGAAGATTTCCATTAGCTATAGACTCACTTATATATTCCATAAAATATTGGTTGAAATGTGTGCATCAAACAAACGCGGATAGCTTAATAAATATATCATTTCGGGATAAAAATAACATATATGTCAAACATATGGAATGCATATTAAAGTACTTTCATTTTCAACATGTCTTTGAAAATGGGAGTACGTTTGGAATAAAACGATTACTAAAAGCAATTAAACTTGAAATGCAAAGAAAATATATAGAACTTAATGATAGAGCTATAAGGGAAAATAGAAAACTTGGAAATTATATGAAAATTGATTACAATCTGGAAAGATATTTAACATTAAGCGTGAACAAAATGTTAATTTTTAAAATGGCCAGGTTTAGATTAGCAAACCATAATTTAAGAATTGAAACAGGGAGACACGAGAAAAAGAAAAAAGATGGCACTAAACAGCATCGACTTGAAATAAATGAAAGAATTTGTCAGATTTGCAATAAGGGGGAAGTAGAGGATGAAAAGCATTTTCTTCTTGTGTGTGATGGCTATAAAAAATGTAGATTTGAATTTTTTAATAAACTAAGTGTTATTGACACATTTGATAATATGTCGGATAAAGAAAAATATAACTTTTTGATGACTTCTGATGATTTTGAAATTGTTAACGAATTGATACATTTTATAAATAAACTTTTTAATCAGCGTCGGGAGCTATTTGAAAAAGGAAAGATTGTATGATGGTATTTGTGAAACAATGCATGTTGTTTTGTTTTTTTAACTGTATAATTATATGTAAATGTCTTGTAATTGATTTTGTGAGGAAACCAAGTGTTTGGTTTGAAACACAATAAAATCTTGAATCTTGAATCTTGTAAACAGAGAATACATATCACTTGATTGAATTTGATTTTGAAATACAGAATTACATTCTTAAAATTGTCCATAAGAAGACGACCAACAAAGCTTTATATTCAAAATTCTTTTGTGTCGACGAGACAATTAAAATGTAAAATGTTTTATTTAAAGCCAGTGATAGTTGACTAAAGGTGTTAAAATTGTATGTTTGTTTTGAGATGGATCCTTTCTAAACACAGAGTTTATTTAGATCAAACTATATTCCTTTCCAAAGATACATCAAAAGGTTCATCAACATCTAGACTCCCACTACCAGCAATGGTAACATCTTCAATTGGTTTGTCTCTATTGTTTGTATTGACCTTCCCAATTTTCCGTATAATATCCTGGAATTGCATTAAACAACAATATTGTGAAGATAATGTGAGTGACAGATAAGATGAAAGGCTAATGTGAAGGGCTGGAATTAATGCGAAATTTCAAGGTTTGTGTCAGCTCCCGAAGGAAAGGGGTGAGGATTTTGACAAAATAAAACACAAGCCATCAAATTTCCTAATAAATACAACTTAGTGTCTATTTCCCACCTTGGGAGTAAGAGCTGGTCAAATAAAGTCAAAACGGATTATCAAGAATATGCATTTCTAGGCTCTGTACGCTGAAGGACAAGGTACTTTGTCAAAAGTAACTGTAGATTCTGAATTGAAAAAAAACTCTCAGAAATTTTTTATATCATGTGAACTCCAACTGTATCATAAAACATAATTCATACTGTCAACAAAGTAAAAAAACAACTTGCCATTCCATCTAAAACCACTCCAAATACAACATGTCTGCCATCAAGCCACAGAGTTTTGACAAGTGTGATAAAGAATTGTGAGCCATTGGTGTCTGGTCCCGCATTAGCCATGGACAGCAAACCAGGTGCAACATGGCTCAATTCAAAGTTCTCATCAGGAAACGTCTCACCGTAGATACTCTTGCCTGAAATGTAAAGTCACTCAAACATCTAAAATTATCATTGGCTATTTTTTTTAAGCTTGGTCCAAATACTTTGAAAACCCTGTTCTTAGTAACTGGGTGATTTCTTTGGTTACTACGTATTTTTAGAAACTAGGTTAAATTATTTGGTAATACTGTTTTTGAGTATCTTGGTTAAAACATTTTGGTTATCCTGTATTTTAAAAACTGGGTTCCTCATCGAGGTTACATTCATTTTAGAAACCCCAAAAGATCTTTAATAACCCTGTTTTTAGAAACTGGGTTTAACTTTTTTGTTTCTGTATGTACCTTTTATTATACAATAATACTCTTACCTTCAAAAAGAGACCCAATTTAAAATAATTTTGGAATATGCAGCTCATATAAAACTCTTCAATTTTTAAATCAATATATTTTCTTAGATTTAACCATGTGGCTAGAATTTGCAACAAATTCAAAACGCAAGTATGATGTTGGTCTTTCAATTGAGCAACACTGATTTCAGTTCATGCATTTTTTAATCAATTATGCCTTGTTGTAATGGAGGTTTTTTGTGGTAATCGACCTCGAGATAACGCATTTACAATCTGGGGAATATACAAACTTGGAGGTAAATGATCGCTTATATTTGTTTGGCAAAATTTAAGTTGAATTAATTTGGCACTAAAATTGGCATTTTCAATATTTTTGACCTAGTGGCAGGGAAACAATGATAAAGTTCATTGGCAGGAGGGAATAAATAATTTAAAATAATAACCTGGTTTCCTTAATTCTGCGAATATAATTTTGTTGTGATGTATTTTAAGTGTGCATGTCCTAGAATCTCATTCAACAAGATGTTGAGCATTCGTATCAAAAATCATGCCAATATTTTCCAAACATTTTCATTTTTTGCTCGATAACCTTTATCAAGTGATAAATCCTAAATTATGTCAGAAGAATTGATATATATTTTAGATGAGGCTTTAACATGCAAAATGTCACCACCTGCCATTTGTTAGACTGCCTAACACCACCTATAGACTGCTGAACACAACCAGCAAATGTGGTTTACGAAAAAAGTTGGGAGACTATAACAATATGTCCTCACTTGACATGAATATACTTGTACTGTATATAAAGGAATACAATTGACCCATTTTAAACTAGAATTAAACCTTAACCAACATAAAAGACTGCAATCAATTTTTCTATAAAATGTTTATTGCTGATCCTTTGGCAATTTAAATTGTACATTCTAGTGTAAATGATTCTTCTTGGAGTAAGTAAATGGAAAAGAAACACATAGATGAACCTAGAGGGTGGCCCTTTAAGAAATGGAATGGGTGGACAAATGTTATGCTCCGTAGTCATGAAGGGGTTAATCTTTCCTAGTCATGGAAGGATTAATCTTTCAAGAAATATATACATAGTAAACATAATTGTACTTTCAGTCCTCGTTGGACACTGAATATTAATCTTGGGATAAACCCCATCTAAACCCTCCCATTTATACATAACTTTTTTGTTTTGAATGCATAGAATCATACATGATCAAAACAATATGTTCTACTTATATATGATCTGAATATGATAAAAATGATAGAATATATTCCTAGAACTGTTCATAATATGGCAACAAATAAATATCTACTCTGGAAAAATTGTGTGCGATAAGACTATTATTTCAGGTGTAGAATGAGCATTTGAATGTTCTAATACGAGTCCTTGCTCATTGTCATTGACTGCTTAGCCTAAAGGTGGTGAAATTGGAAATGTTTCTTTTAAGATGGACCCCTTATAAACACTCCAAAATTTGAGCAATCTATTTGGATTCATCTGAAGGCTCCTTGGCAACAGCAAAAGGTGTATCAACATCCAGAGATCCACATTCAGCAATGACAACATCCTCTTCTGGTTTATCTCCTGGCTTTGTTTTTGAACTTTCAATTTTTCTAACAACTTTCTGAAAACACATGTAGAAACAAAAAATTATTATCGGGGTATTATTTGCTTATTCCTACCTTCTCATGTTTAGGGGAAGGAGGGCGGGGGTGGGGTTATTGCAATATTTGGGTCCACGCCATTGACACAGTTTAATAAGGAAATGTGTTCTGATGATTAGGGCCTATATGTTTGACTTTCACACTTTGTTCCAAGAATGAACCATATTTTCACAATTTATCTGGATAATAAAACAATATGGTGGCAGAAATTAGATGTGAGATGAGAGTGATTATCAGTTCATTTACTAATTTATGACATCCAAAGTATAATATAAACCACTTAAATAGACTAAAATGTAGACATGCATTTGTATCCAAATATGTGAGTTTCTGTAAAACAAAAAATGTTTGCTTGCATTGTAATTTAATTTCCAAGAATGCAAAACCTGTTAGATGAATCATTTTCCTCGCAATTGTGATAGACCAGATATTGCTGAGTTGTGAAAAAATGAAAATTAAACTATGTGAGATTCTTACACTGAAAGTAGGAGAAATCATTGTTCTAAACAAGGCATTAACATGACAAAATGTCACCACCTAGTTGCTCACAATATTATGAGTTCAAACTTAATATAAGTCAGATTTGAATTTCTGAGAACTTGTAAAGTCAAATTTGAACTTCTGAAAAGATGTAGATGATTTCGAAAAAAAAATTTGGTCAATTTGAAGCAAGTTGAAAACAGACCTTTTTGACCTTTTTTGACCTTGAGAAGGTCATTAAAGGTCAAATGTCAAATCTAAAGTCAGATTTGAATTTCTGAGAACATGTAGATGATTTTGAAAAAAAAAATTAGTCAATTTGAAGCAAGTTGAAAAAATACCTTTTTGACCTTTTTTGACCTTGAGAAGGTCAAATGTCAAATCTAAAGTCATGTTTGAATTTCTGAGAACATGTAGAATGTAGATGATTTTGAAAAAAAATTTAGTCAATTTGAAGCAAGATGAAAAAATACCTTTTTGACCTTTTTGACATTGAGAAGGTCATTGAAGGTCAAATGTCAAATCTAAAGTCAGATTTGAATTTCTGAGAACATGTAGATGATTTTGAAAAAATTTTTTAGTCAATTTGAAGCAAGTTGAAAACAGACCTTTTTTGACCTTGAGAAGGTCAAATGTCAAATCTAAAGTCAGATTTGAATTTCTGAGAACATGTAGATGATTTTGAAAATTTTTTTTAGTCAATTTGAAGCAAGTTGAAAAAAGACCTTTTTGACCTTTTTTGACTTTGAGAAGGTCATTGAAGGTCAAATGTCAAATCTTAAGTCAAATCTAAAGTCAGATTTGAATTTCTGAGAACACGAAGATGATTTTGAAAATTTTTTTTAGTCAATTTGAAGCAAGTTGAAAACATACCTTTTTTGACCTTGAGAAGGTCATTGAAGGTCAAATGTCAAATCTAAAGTCAGATTTGAATTTCTGAGAACATGTAGATGATTTTGAAAAAAAAATTTAGTCAATTTGAAGCAAGTTGAAAAAAGACCTTTTTGACCTTTTTTGACTTTGAGAAGGTCATTGAAGGTCAAATGTCAAATCTTAAGTCAAATCTAAAGTCAGATTTGAATTTCTGAGAACACGTAGATGATTTTGAAAATTTTTTTTAGTCAATTTGAAGCAAGTTGAAAACAGACCTTTTTGACCTTTTTTGACCTTGAGAAGGTCAAATGTCAAATCTTAAGTCAAATCTTAAGTCAGATTTGAATTTCTGAGAACATGTAGATGATTTTGAAAAAAAAATTTAGTCAATTTGAAGCAAGTTGAAAACAGACCTTTTTGACCTTTTTTGACCTTGAGAAGGTCATTGAAGGTCAAATGTCAAATCTTAAGTCAGATTTGAAGGTCAAATGTCAAATCTAAAGTCAGATTTGAATTTCTGAGAACATGTAGATGATTTTGAAAAAAAATTTAGTCAATGTGAAGCAAGTTGAAAAAAGACCTTTTTGACCTTGAGAAGGTCATTGAAGGTCAAATGTCAAATCTAAAGTCAGATTTGAACTTCTGAGAACATGTAGATGATTTAGAAAAAAATTGAAGTCAGTCTAAACAGTATTTGTTAAGTTATAGGAAGTTGTAAGAAATTGTTACAGACGCCAACCGCCGGACGCCAACCACCAACCGCCGGACGCCAACCACCAACCGCCGTCGCAAAAAAAACGGAGACCATAACAATATGTCACCACTTTTGGTGGTGACATAAAAACCTATCAAACCATTTATATTTTCTGCAATAAGGTATCACCCCCTAATAAGCTCCCACCCTGCTTCTCAAAGTTCAAGAAATATTCAGGAATGAACAAATATTAACAATTCGTGAAAAAGATTGAAATTCTAAAGAAATCAAGTGGGTGATAATAGAGTACTTACACTTAAACGATGCCACTTATAGAGCATATGGTAACTTTATTTGAAACAAAGCTTGATAAACATTAATGTGAGACAGGCCCGTAGCCAGGATTTGGGGGGGGGGGGTTCGCTTGAACCCAATCGAACCCCCCCCCCCCTGGCTACAGGCCTTTGAGAAATGTATAGATTGTCTTAATATTATTCACACCATATAATGTAAAATACTTACCATTCCTTCTAAAATTTTTCCAAATACAACGTGTCTTCCATCAAGCCATTCAGTCTTCTTAGTAGTAATGAAGAATTGTGAGCCATTGGTGTTTTTCCCTGCATTAGCCATGGATAACCAGCCAGATCCAAAATGCTTCAATTTAAAGTTCTCATCATCAAACTTGTTGCCATAGATACTCTTGCCTAAAATGACAAAAATATGTTGTCATAAATATGGTTGTTTTAAAGTTTGGTAACTGTATACATGTACAGCTTAGAACTAGGTGAAATTAATGTTTGATTTAATTTCTATACCAGATTATCTCGTACAAAAGAGCATAATTTTGTACATAATCATACTACCCTAGCCCCATACTGTAGCCTGTATTTCTTTAAAAGTGATACAGGCTACAGTGAAGTAGATTTTACATATATTCCAAGTATTCGACTATACATTGTATAGATTCACTGAGCTCTATTTGCAACTTCAATGAAGCCTAAATCCCTGGTTCGTATACCATTTTAAGAAATACAGGCCACAGTATGGGGGTAGGGTAGTGTGATAATAGTCCTATTCGCGTTAGGAAATTACTGGTCATTAACATAATTATTTCCCGCAATGCAACACGATAAAATGGACAATTTTCTATTGGTCCGCAAAACACAACGTCATAGGCATTATCTCGAACCAACATTAGTACATTTGTATAATAATATTCTATAATCCAGACAATAATTAGAAAAGAAGATGGAAATTCAATTTGCTTCGATTATTTTTTCTATGGCGTCGGAGCAAGTTCCGGGAACTGAGCAACTTCCGGGAAATCTGTGACGTCACTTGAATTTTAAACTTAGGATTTTGACGATTCTGGTGAATATATTTTTAAAAAACTTGTCAAATGTCTTTATAATGATCATATCTATCGTATGTGCAAATATAATTCATGATAAACCTCTAATAAAGTCACAATGCGTCATTGAAAAACACAGCCAATGTTATTCCAATGGGGAAGTGCCCGGATGTTGAGAAAGTTGTACCACGAAACTGAACTCTCCAATGCGGAGATAAGAATATTTCGCACGTTAAAAGTTAGCGCGTATAGGTATATTATGCTTCATATTTAGTTTTCATCAATTCAGTGTGCTAACATTATCCAAAAAATATTTTCTGGAGTCCCTCTTTTTTATCATAAAACTGTCATAATTTTGCCCCCTCAATATAAGTGATGGATATGTCAGTTACACAGTTATTTTTGTTCAATTTACAGTAATTAGACTATATACTGTACACTAAGATCATGCAGATGAACATCAACCAAGATTAAATATTAAGATAGTAAAATGGTATAAAATAAAAATGCAGTAGTGTTCAAGAGTCAAAATAATAAAAGTAAAGAAAATTTAAAGTAAACTTATGAGTGATTAAATCTTGTCAAATGAAAACTCATATAAGCCAGTGGGGTCAACTATGGGATGTCGATGGTAGCTTTAAATTCAAAACAATATTTTGCAATACTGTACTCCCAGTAATTTTCATGTTCTACTATATTTTGCACTTTTCACGAGTTTTGGAAAAGCCGTAATTTTGTGTCTTTAACGCACTGCAGCCTCATTTTGAACAGCTACGCATGGCTGCCACCCATTACCTCTGTCCACCTTGGTAACGCTCACTTTCATGGTTGATGAACAAAAAAATACAATTGGGCAAATGCATTAAGACACCGGTGCTCTGAGGGTGGGGAGTTCTTGGAACTGGTTTCTAGCCTGGCAAAAACAACAGCCAGCAAAGGGCTTTTATGTTCACAGCACTCTGCTCGGACTCATCCCATAGTTGACCACTTGTGACTTTGTGCAAGAAATCTCGTGATAGTATGTGCTTGCCCATTTTTGAAATACTATATATGTGATTTCCCATTATTCCTATTGTAGTGTGAAGAATTATCATATGTGACAATTTACTAACCTAGCACAGCAGTATAAAATGAACATATCGGGCCATGATATGTGACTGTGAGTAACTGTAAACTGAATGTTCAATTATATCGTTTGAAGTCCTACACCTGTTTTTGGAAATACTGTATCATTCCCTGGACACCCTACTGTAGATTGGGTTTAAAAGTCATGTTCGCTTGATTTTGGCGAATTTGGTATCGCCAACATTTAGAAAAATTCTCTGGAACTTCTCTGGGTATTGTTCTGTGTATGAAGTCACTTCCAGTTGAGTTTTTACAAAATCAGAAAATGTCACATATAAACTGGCTCCGGAGAGCCAGTTCCCAGTCAATACGGATGGAAAAACTAATAATAAAAAGAAAAAACTTGGGATTGTAGCAGTGTCTATTGAGGTTCAAAATGTGCAGGATAAACATCAATTCATGATAGGTTTGTCAAAAAATATCACAAGTCCCACAGAAAAGAACCTGTTTGTTCCAAGTATATGGAAGGTGTGGCGTCAGAGCAATACCCTACCCCAACTGTTCACCAAACTAAATAGCTGCCAATATGCCAAAAATGGAAAAATCGCCAAATTAAGTAGCACCAAATCAACCCAATCTACAGTATATTTGGAAATCCAATTCGCTAGCACTTTTCCGAAAATGTTCAAATCTTACTCATATTTGATCTCCGGTTATAAACTGTTGTGTTATTTATCAAAAGTTAAATGGGATTTCTTGTAATATCAACCTATATGGTTTACCTGGATAAAACATCTGTTTTCCCAGAAGTTCATGACAATGATATTATATTTGAATTTCCGATCTTGGAGTTGTCCTTTCAGAACTGGGAAGTTGAAGAATAGGTAGGTACAAGTTCAGATTTGGATAATGACCCAATATTGTCTCAATCTTTCCAGGGGTGTATAATTGAATTTGAGAGGAGTATTCATTAATTAGAAACACAGAATTATATTTACGCAGTTGTGTTTTAATATTTATATATTAAAAATAAGTCATTTGTATATGATAAAATGGTTAAAATAAGGCAATATGTGAAGGTTAAGCACTATGTTACAAGTTTCTTGCAAAAGAGACTCAAACAAATTATGATGCTAAAATACTCCAAAATTAAAGAATGCGGAACAGAAATAAAAAGCTGCCATCACTTGGATTCTGGAAATCCACTGCAAATGGCTATAGAAGTGTAACACTTGTTACAGGTATCGAATACATACACTCAATGAATGAAAGCAATAACAACCATGGTGAGTGACATAAATATCACAATGGTCTGCAACTAACTTGCACAATCAATAGTCTACAATTCAAACCTTCTTTTCTTTGAATATCAAAGCTTGAGAAAAAGTCACTGATCTTAAGTAGTAGATGACTAAAGTTTCCATCACAGGTAGTCCCCAATTTTCAATGCTGTTACTGAAGCAATTTTTCAAGCTTTCACATTTTCAAAAATGGGTTTCCATGATCCATTAAAAGAAGCATGTTGCTATATGGTTTTACATGCTTCAGGGCTATTAAGCTAAATAAAGGTGGAGTCCCTTTAACTTGTAAAAGTAAGGTAACATACCTCCTGTGCCATCTCCATTGGTGAAGTCACCCCCCTGGATCATGAAGTCTTTGATGACGCGGTGGAATTTGCTGCCTTTGTAGGTGAGGGTTTCTCCACCTTTCTGAAATGACGGAATATATGGCAATTAGTTTTCTGAATACATTTTTAATGGCAACTATGCTAATGAGTATCATTACATTTCACTTATTTAATTTTGTTGTCGAATCAGTATTAAACTACCTATACAACATTACAGTACATATCAGCATATGGGATTTACTTCTGAAGTTTTCTTGTGAACATTTTTAATTTTGCCATCTACTAAAAGAACTGAACTTTCACTTTTGAAAACAAATCCTTTCTATCCAGTAAGGATAGTGTTCTGAAACATTCCAAAAACACAAACCTCAAATCCTTCAGCTAGTTTCTTGAAATTTTCTACAGTTTTAGGGACAGTCTTTCCAAAAAGTCCAATAACAATCCTGCCTGCCTCCTTTCCTCCAATGGTGATATCAAAGTAGACCTGAAATGAACAACACATGTTGTGGTAAAATAAATTCAATAAGGCATTAATTTAATGAAATAGGACAGATTTCTTGGATTGCTTCGAATAAATATACAAAGCTTTTATATTCACCACTATTTAGTATAATAAAATGAAACAAAAGATAAATCATTTATCACTGGTCACTGTATCAAGCAAAAGTTATGGTAGTAACCTTCGCATCTAAGATGGCAGACAGTAAGTGTCTATTTTGATATATTTTTTTTTAGTTTTTATCGAATTAAACTACTAAACAGTTGATGTAATGCTTTGATATTTGAACTTGCATACTGACAAGTGACTTATGTTGGTGCCTCTATGTGTCGGACTGCCTACATATTATACACAAGTGACTTATGTTGGTGCCTCTATGTGCCGGACTGCCTACATATTATACAAGTAGTGTAAAATTCTCATACTTGGATGAATTTGTGGTAGATAACATCGAAGATATCAAAGGAGGTTGGATATAAAAATACAGGGTGTCCATAAAGTCCCATTAAACTTTATACAGAACTTGTGTAACTGTAGACTGTATGGACACCCTGTATATTCCATCTCCCTCTAGAGCAAGAGACAGATGTGAAAACAGGTTATGAGGATGTTTTCACTACAGCTTGACATTCAACCTTCTTTATTTCAACCTGAATATTCTCTCAATTCAAATAACATTTATTTAAAACATTTTTAAAAACACTACTCCCACACAATGCTGGATTATGGGACACCAAGTAGTACACAATTTTAAAGTGGAATGCATCGTAAAATAAAACAAGGCATTAACATGACAAAATGTCACCACCTAGTTGCTCACAATATTATGAGTTCAAACTTAAGTCAGATTTGAATTTCTGAGAACTTGTAAAGTCAAATTTGAACTTCTGAAAAGATGTAGATGATTTTGAAAAAAAAATTTGGTCAATTTGAAGCAAGTTGAAAACAGACCTTTTTGACCTTTTTTGACCTTGAGAAGGTCATTAAAGGTCAAATCTAAAGTCAGATTTGAATTTCTGAGAACATGTAGATGATTTTGAAAAAAAAATTTAGTCAATTTGAAGCAAGTTGAAAAAAGACCTTTTTGACCTTTTTTGACCTTGAGAAGGTCATTGAAGGTCAAATGTCAAATCTAAAGTCAAATCTAAAGTCATATTTGAATTTCTGAGAACATGTAGATGATTTTGAAAAAAAATTTAGTCAATTTGAAGCAAGATGAAAAAATACCTTTTTGACCTTTTTGACATTGAGAAGGTCATTGAAGGTCAAATGTCAAATCTAAAGTCAGATTTGAGTTTCTGAGAACATGTAGATGATTTTGAAAAAAAAATTTAGTCAATTTGAAGCAAGTTGAAAAAAGACCTTTTTGACCTTTTTTGACTTTGAGAAGGTCATTGAAGGTCAAATCTTAAGTCAGATTTGAATTTCTGAGAACATGTAGATGATTTTGAAAAAAAAATTAAGTCAATTTGAAGCAAGATGAAAAAAGACCTTTTTGACCTTTTTTGACTTTGAGAAGGTCATTGAAGGTCAAATGTCAAATCTTAAGTCAAATCTAAAGTCAGATTTGAATTTCTGAGAACACGTAGATGATTTTGAAAAAAAATTTTAGTCAATTTGAAGCAAGTTGAAAACAGACCTTTTTGACCTTTTTTGACCTTGAGAAGGTCATTGAAGGTCAAATGTCAAATCTAAAGTCATATTTGAAGGTCAAATGTCAAATGTAAAGTCAGATTTGAATTTCTGAGAACATGTAGATGATTTTGAAAAAAAATTTAGTCAATGTGAAGCAAGTTGAAAAAAGACCTTTTTGACCTTGAGAAGGTCATTGAAGGTCAAATGTCAAATCTAAAGTCAGATTTGAACTTCTGAGAACATGTAGATGATTTAGAAAAAAATTGAAGTCAGTCTAAACAGTATTTGTTAAGTTATAGGAAGTTGTAAGAAATTGTTACAGACGCCGGACGCCAACCGCCGGACGCCAACCGCCGGACGCCAACCACCAACCGCCGGACGCCGTCGCAAAAAAAACGGAGACCATAACAATATGTCACCACTTTTGGTGGTGACATAACAATGATATAGTAAGAGGGATCTGGCAAACAAGAATGAACAACAGTATTGAACTCTTACATAAATTAATAAGTAGACATTTATTCTATGAATACAGCATTGCAGAAGCCAGCATATGGCATTTCAATATATGTGTTTCATAAATGCTATATTAATATTTTATTGATCTTTTAATATTGATATATTAGATGCAACTTTATACTAGTAGTTATAAATATTCAAATTGATGTGCAATTAATCATTAAGAAGACTAGTATTTAGGACTAATGACTTTTCCACAGATAGCTGGCTAATTATGTTCATCATTGATCTGACATGAAAATGACCGTGTGATATATGATATTGCTTTTCAATTAAGACTGATATTCCATAGTTGGAAAGTGATATTTCCTGTGATCTACAAGTATAGATATACAATTCTAAAATATTCCCTGTCAGTACCAATAAATGTAAGAGATGCAAAATAAATAAAATATCACCCATCTGAACAAACAATTGCTATTCAGATATGCAACATTGAAATATTGCCAGTCTGTATGAATTTCAATGGGACATAAATCTTACCCAACAAAAGGCGCGTCATCATTTGGGTGTATTCCTACAGATTATACACTATAGATTTCTGATAATCATTAAAAATCAAATACAGACTCTTAATTCAGTACATGCTAACTGGAATGGTAAACTATGTGCTAAGATAGTGAGGACACCCATCTATTTAAGTCTCCATTAGGGAGTTTAATTATGAAAAAGATCATCGAACAAGTCTTAATCCTTCGGTTAAAAGGCTGGTACAAATATAACCAATGTTTCAGAACTCCAATGTGATAAATTTCCAAATCGTCCCTCTACTATTAAAAGGTTCTATGTCCTCATGTACCATATTTGAGAAAACGGAGAACAAACATTTAGCTTCCTCTATCTTTGTGATACAGTAAAGTAGAATTTTGACAAGAATGCTCATGCAGTATATAACCATGATGAATCATTCCTGATCAGGATGGCAAGAAATGTCAATGTTTAAGACTACCTTTTTTAAAAATGCCTTCTGGGATAGAACCTTTTGCGTCTGTAACGCAACAATGAGTTAAATTGATGGAGATGAAACTATTTTTAAAGAAGCAAGCCACACTATTGCGAAGAGTGACCCTTTTATATATCCAGAGCAAACATGATAAGGCATTATAACATTTTTACAAAATCCAGGCGCCCCTGCAAAGGAATAGATGACTCGTCTTGTAATGCTCATAAAGGTGCATCTAATTCGGCTAGCAATCTGAAACTTCCTGTGGGTCTGCTCCATGGAGTAAGGTTGTACTATGTAAAAGGACAAGTCAGATATCATCCAGATAAAAAAGTTATGCAACATTATGTGGGTGTGTGTCATTTTGTCTTTGTCACACTGTATATACTATGTCATTAAATGTAAAAAGGTTTTATCTCCAATTTGAATCATGACATTGAATGCTAAAAAGTTTTATCTCAAGAGATAGAACCATGTAGCAGTAATTATCTTTTTCAAATAAAGGACATAGAACCTTATTGCATTAGAAATCTCCTATTTCTAATTGAGAACAGCTTTATAACCTTAATTTTTGAAAAGAGCACTAGTGACGTGGGGGTTAGAGGACCTATCACATACTGTTAATAAGTGGATACAGTATGTGGTGAACATCATATAATTTGGTTACTTTTCAGCATTAAAGTACTTAATCGAAACAGACTTTCCACTGTAACATCGGTGAAAACAATCTACAAGGGTGGCCGGTTATGCAAGTCTCGCTGAGATGAGGCAACACTTGTCCATATTTGTAGCGTGCGATGTACATGTGAACATCTTTGTTTGTGACACTAACAGTTCATGTATCGGGCTAAACTTAGTGGATAACAGCTGACTGATTTCCCTATAACTGTCACGGAAGTGTTGTCATAAAACTCCATTCTCGTGATTGACTCTAATAAATACTAGTGTTGTCGCGATGTGCCATAATAGTACATCGATGCATCGGCAGTTCTCAGTTGTAAACATCGATGCACATCGCGATGTACATCGAGAAAAAGTCCGAGAAAAATGCACTGAAATACCGAACGCTAATGCACTAAAATACCGAACAGAACATATTAATAAGAGTACGCTGGTACATCCGGGAACTTCTAGTAACGTTGAAATGAAAGTAAAGTAAATTGTTTTAGATTAATGGTTCATTTCTACTAACTAAAACAGTTTTAAAGCGAAAGAATATCAGAAAACATCAGAAAATGAAATAAGACATGAGAAAGGTAAGCGATTTGGGTCAAAATAAGATAAGAAAGGGTGATTTTTAGCAAATGAAATTTTTTTTAAAAACATCGATGTTTTGTTTCAGACATCGATGCATCGCCAGAATCAGCTTTGGCGATGTATATCGCGATGTATCGATTAATCGCGACAACACTAATAAATACCTGCGATAGCATTTGTTCAGACACTAAACAATCAAAATGTACAAATTTATGCGGATCTTGTAATGATTTTGGATGAGAACGATATAAATTAATGACAAAAGCTTTTTTGAATCTCACAGGTAATGGTGTCACCATGGGCGTCACTGAATAATTCATTATCTGAATGCCATGTCATCAATGTTGAACTGATTTCCGGTTACAAAAACAAAAACTCCGAACTTACTTTGTCCGTAACTTTGGGTCCAGTCTTCTTTTCTGCAGCTTCAGATTGGCCAAAATGGTAGATACAAATAATTCCTACCACTAGGAAAGTGCTTACGGCAAGGCACTTCATATTTCTGCTCACAAACCGTTTCAAACCAAGAGCTGCAATTTTGGTGAAAAATGTGATTCCAATATGGCGGTAGCGCAGGGTGTCGCAATTTGATTGGCTAAGCCAAAATCATAACCCTACGCATGCGTATTAGAAACCTCAGAAATTGCTTCCGGTGTCAACAAAATTTTCAGAAAGTAAAAATCACTGCGGTTGTTTTCAACATTTTGCCAAGATGTAGCGTAAAATGGGAATCAAAAGGCAAATATGGGGAAGCTAAAATGCTTCGAGATCATCTTTGATGAAAATAGGACCGTTTATCATCCAGGGGAACTAGTAAAAGGACAATGTATCGTGGAATTAAAAGGAGACATGAAAATGAGGGCCCTGCGCATTTTTATGCGGGGAGTTGCAAAGGTTCACTGGACCGAATCGAGAAGTACGGGTACTCGGCTTGGAAATTATACCGAACATTACAATGCAGAAGTTGAATATTTCCTAAAGAAACAAGTTTTATATGGAGGAGGTAAGTGTTTCATTCATGAATTTCTTAAAGAAATTCTATCCAGATTTTGGAAGGGTTATACCCTTTTAGTCTTATTCCTCAAATCATAGGCCCATGAAGAAGCATCATAATTGTTCAACAACTTCAGTTTTACACAGTTTATTTATTTATACAATTTCTTGTCAGCTTTTTGGGATTCGTGGCAGGATTCGTTCATGATCGATGGATCTTCTAGTCTGATGACTTCTGGTCAGACTGTCAACCTTACGTACTGTCCTGTACTGGAAAATGCGTTGAAATTTTATGCACACAATTATAAATTTGAGGAAGCATCGAACTTAGCAAAATAAACATAGCACTTCTAGTAGGTTGTTAGGTATAATATTAAATGATATAAAAAGTAACACAACATATTTTAAAGTGGAAATAAAGCTAGGGAAAGTAATAAATATGCAAATTAATTTCAAATGACAATTCCCATGTTAACAAATGGCACAAATGCTTTTTGAATACCTTTTAACATAGACATTTTCAGCCAATCTCTAGAGGCAGAATCAGATTTTCTTTTCTTGAATGGCGTGATTTTGACACGAAAAGTTCACATATTGTCAATAAATCAGACTCTGCTAAAAGGCCATGGGCCCCTTGTTTCTATTCTGCCATGCTTTTTTGCTGAAATTTGTTATATGCGATGATAATGATCAATCTCTCAATTTGCACTTTTTCATTTTGTTTCAGAATAACATGCAATTTGTATGAATCATGCTGTAGCAATCTATTATTTATTATCATATATCAGCTTTATATATGTACACATTATTAAATAGGCTGTCTGGTATTAACCTTACAAAGTAAATACATAAACAGCAGCAAAGAGCTGGAATCTTGAATTCTCCCTTCACATTTTACCATTTCTGTTAAAGATATTCTCATTTCTTTTAAGATTATCTTTACTCTTAGCTGAGATGAAATTCATTTTTCAATTTATTAGGTGTGAGGTCATTTTTAAATTCTCAACAATGTGCAGCACCGTGTTCCTTATGTATGGAAGATGAGTTTAGATAACACATAATATTTTGCTAAAATAATAAGATGCTAGGAAGGGAACTGTTAGAATGTATATAGTTTCAAAAAACAGATGTAACAAAAAAACTCCAGACTGATCTAGTGTAAACATATATTTCAAGTTCAATGGATAAATGTAAGATTTTCTTGCTCTTTCAAAATGTTAAATATAATATAAGGTAAAATGTGTAAAATAAAGAACCATTAGGGGCCAGCCTTTTGGAATCTTTGCCCAATTCAGCATTGTGGTTAATTAATTTATTTACAAAGAACGGCAAATATAGGATCTATTTTTTAGCTCACATGGCAAGCTTTTTTATAAATTGATATTATAAAACTCCAGCTGTTGGCTGCATCATTACAAACCTTTCAAAGTTTGCAACTACATGTGAATCATTGTTTGATGAATCAGAAAAAGAAATTCCAGATGAATCTTTTATTACTCAAGTGATTACCAAGATGGGAGCAATGAAACACAGTACATGCACTGTCATCTGAAACACCTAGGCCTTATTTGAGTTCTCTATGGGTTAAATCCTTCAGTCCAGAGAAGCCCTTATTATTAAAAAGTGCAGTTACAAAATTTACATTTGAAATGATAAAGGATAATTTCTTTCATAATAACTTATAAAAAGCCGATCAATGTATCAAGAAAATACGTTTAACAATGTCAAATTATCTGTCATTACATGATATTTCTAGAATCTAAAATATGAAACCTTAAAACAGTTACTACCCATGACTTGATTCAACCGCAGAGCCAGATTACATATTTGGAAATAGACAATTTTGAACATCATTTCAACACTTTTATTGATTGAAAACATTTTTTGAATTTCACCTTTGAATCCAGTTTTTGATATTTGAGGTTCATTTGTTATAAAATTTAAGTCTATTTTCTAAAATAGGGGTATTTTTAGAAAATCAGTTCTGTTTAATGCTGAAAAAGTCTTGACCTTTTTTCTTTGGAAAACACCAATGGGTCACTAAATAGTATAATTGGTATTCTGTCCCTTAGGTACCATTCATGTCAGTAGCTCCTAAGACAGGGATAATTACCATCAATAACCAAGTATATTTTAGAAGTATGTATCGCAAGTCAGCATATGGAGTTGATTAATATGTATATTTGTAAAACTCAAAATCTATACGTAACTTAAAAAACTAAACATCAGTTGGAAAATTCCTATAAACCATGATAGAATTTTCAAATGAGTTATGACCAAAACATCCTGATGGTAATTCCATATGATTCAGAGGTGGAACATATGACTGAGACATGATAGCCTCTTATATTTACACGATACTCAGCCTTCCAGGATGGTTCACAGAGCTCTTGCAAAAAATTTGTGGGCTTACTTTCCTTTTGTGAAAAATGAAAATTCATCAGTTTAGCAGTCAACACTATCTGGCTGAAGCATGGTAAAGTCACTAAAGCAGGATGGCTTAGTCCAGCCTATCCTTTTAGTTTTGACTTTTTTCTTACTTAGATATACCAGGTTCAGAGAATATATCCTAAAAATGCCTGGCTTAAAACAAAGGAACACACAGCATGGTTTGGGGCATACATAAGATAAAGATGATTATTTTACTTGCAATTTCGGTATGATACTTGAAGATACAACTGAACCAAAGATAGAACCCCTGTGTGCTAAATAACATTCCCAGCAATTCTTGATAATGAATTTGGTATAACCCTATACTGTACATAAGACTGAGCTCTTGTCTAAAACTGATTGAGTACTTGCCTTGTCAGATGACTTTAGGGTCTCAAAAGTATGTAGATTTTTATTACAATCTTAAAAACCCTGAATTCTAAAATGTTTTACACAAGACATATTAGGTGTTAGTATAAATCCAACAAATGATGATGGGGACAAGGGGGGGGGGGGGCGCAGGGGCGGATCCATGAACCAACAATTGGGTGGTTCCCGTATTTGAAGTAGGCCCAGATTTTGAAAATTTAAGGCCTGTTTTCCTGATGTTTGCCTAAAATTAAAAAATAAGGCCTTAGTTTTGGGCCCAGAATTTTTTAGCCTTGAGCTATCAGTGGAACACCATCCAAATCAAACATTATTTGAGTTATCAAAATGCATTTCACTTATACACAGGTTTTACATATTCAGTGAGGAAAATTCCAACAGAGAACTGGAAGTCCCATGATTTCTTATGATCTTAAAATGATACTGTAAATATGTATGTATGATGTTTACTAAAACATCATGTGAACAATGGAAAAACCAAGTGTCAATTCCAGTTGGCAGGGATACTTGTTGAAAGTTATTTTGACCTTTTTACTGAGAATCATTTTCTTGTTTCTAAATACTTGCACAGATGTTGTTGGTATAAAGAACAAATATCCAACAATGATGCCATTTAAAAAGGCATTGTGTATTTTTTGCAAAATGACTAAAATTCAGAGTAACAGTAACTATGAGATATGAATTTTATTTTTGTCCAAGCTTACAAAAATATTTAAGGTATGGAAATTAAGTGGTGAAATATTCAAATCCTTATTTTGTCAGTATTTATAAAAAGGGCTTCATTACAGTTCTGTTGGCACATCTACATGTGCCTTCTTATCTCTATGTTTACAGACTTCTTTGTTTTTTGTCATTGTTTGCTTCAATATTTATTTGTTAGAACATTCTTAAGTCAAATCTTGGCACAGTAAGGCTTATTATATTTCAACAAAATATTAGGTTTTGACAGGAAAATACAAAGAATTTTAGTATTAAGTTGAAAGACATTTATGGGAATTGGAATTTATAGTAAAACGATGTTTTTGAAATCAATGAAAAATATCATATTTTTCAATTTTTTGCCAAACCATCAAATATGGCATATCTGATGATGAATGGATTTTTGCCGCATCACTTTCAATTTATGTTGGGCTGTCAGATTTCCCACCCTGGGATGAATAATTGATGGTCAAATGAGAGTGAAAATTCAATGAGTTTAAAAGTCCCTGCTCACAGGTCGGAGAACTTTGTCAAAATCCCATCCGTCCCTGGGACAGTTAATACTGCTAGTCGAATTTCATAACCCTCTATAAAAATAAGGTATTAGTGCTTGGCTCTGTGGGTCATACTCAAAGACCCCATGAGACCCAGAGTAAACCTAGCTGTTGGATTGCCCTGGTGAATACATATGAATATAAAGGTAAAGAGAGTACATGTGTATTGCTCTTACATCAATCAATTTACGTTCTTCCACAAGTTCTTGTTTATTTTCACAGTGATTCTGATATACTCTACACTTAGAGAATCTATATTTATAACAGCCTCTTACCTGGACTTATTCTCCAAAATGACTAACATTTTCTGTTAATGAAATGATTGATTTTCTGAACTATGTTTCTCACATATTCTAGTACTCGTCAGAGTGTTTATGTGAAGCATTCTTCTTGTTGCTGTGTTCAATCTCCCATTCTCAATCTATTCAAGTTTAACAAATTACGTCTATTGTGGGGGTTTTCAAACTGGATTTTCTCAATGGACCAGACACGAGCAAGACAGATAGGAGAAAGATGCTCTTGTAAGGTCTTACTCATTTTGTATGCTACAGAGCAATCCCTCGCCAAATATTTTCTTATTCTACTCCACTTCTTTCGACAATCAGTACAAACTGAAATGAAGAGTAATAGTTTGTTTCTGCCAGTTTCACATCTCCATGTTGCACATATAATTTACCTACGCAGGGCTTTCAGGCCCGTAGCCAGAATTTTCCAAGGGGGGTTCACTTTTCCCAAAAATTCTTGGGGGGGTTCACTTTGGCAAATTTGGCCAAAAATCACTCAAAAATAGTCAGAATGGTGAAAAACTGCATGATTTTGAAAGAAATTTTGGCCAGGGGGGGTTCGCCCGAACCCCCCCCCTGGCTACGGGCCTGGCTTTCAATAGAATTTCTCACAACAGGCTAAATAAATGAAAACAACAGGCAAAATTAATGGAAAT